TATAACCGTTCTGTGCCAAGTTTAAGAACTGCTACTGGGCTTTAAGGAATTTAAAGTTCTCCTCTGCTAGGCTTCCTCCATCTCTGCCTCAAATTTTGATCATACTCAGGCTTTAGAGCAAGGCTCCCTCCTGCTTGCTGTGTGGATGACTTTATCCACTTACCTATGTGGGGATCAATTCCAAATCCACACATCTCCGATCTAGATTGTTTCCTAGAGCCATGTATTCAATGACCTACTAGGAAACTCCCTAGCATCCCACCCTCAGTGTGGCCAAGTCCAATTATGCCTTTCTCCAGGCCTTTGGGAAGCCTTTCTGACCTTCTTGCCATGTTACAGCACCCACACGTGCTACTCACCTGAGCTAGTGTTCCATCACTATAACAGTTCATATGGGGAAAAGGTGTATTTTGGCTCATGGTTTTGGGGACCCTGGTCCATGACTGATTAGCTCTGCTGCTTTTGCACCTATGCAAGCAGATCATGGACAGGGCCACAGCCTGGGGCAGAATTATTCACCTCATGGCTAGGAACAGAATGAGAGAAATAGGAAGGGGCTGTGGTCTCCTTGTCCTCTTTAGATACTGGCCAGTGACCAGAAGGCCCCATCTCATCAAGGCCTCCCCTCCCACCTAGGGACAAACCTTTAACACATGGGCTGTAGGGGAACCTTTCAAATCAGTGTTCTTTGCTTCTTGTATCTCCAGCCCTTGCTATGTCTTCAACCTGGAGAGGGCAGGCCAACTACGTTTCATACCGTCCCTACCCCTATGATGCAGAAATCTACCCACACCAGATTGAGTACAGCAGGCTCCACCTGCTTCTTCTTCCATGCCCTGGCATCTTCTCCCACCATCTCTTGTCTCCCCAGTGTTTGCCTGCATCACAGGTACCACTGCAGAAATGGCTACAATCACCACTCTCAGTTCCTGTGCAGTGCTGTGCAGGTTTTGTCCAGAAGAAAAGGAGAGATGAGACCGTCCCCAGCTCTGTGCAAGGAACTGACCCATTTGGACTGAACATGGAAGATTCTGCATCTAGTGATGTCTGAAACAATGGAATGCTTGGTGGGGGACACTCATAGCTCCACAAGTGGTAATCAGCAAAACAGCAGAGCATCCAGAAAAGTATCAGGAAGAATCACAGAAAGACAGACAAAAGAGCCTTTCTAGGCTCATATCCACCCCTGAGTGGTCTAGAAAGAAGTGTGAGAGTAGTAGGCTAAACCTACCCAGAATCAACAAAGTAGGTTGACATTTGCCAACCTGTACACAGACCTATAAACAGATAACTGAAGCACTAGTGTCAGTGGGGTTAAAAGCCTGCTTTCTGAATGTTGGATGGTAAGCTACTTGGACCAAGGGGCAACTCCTGAGATTCCAGAATTAAAAATAACATAAAAATCATTATTTTTGCAAAATACATATATATTTTGTTGTTTGTACAGGGTCTAGCTATGCAGCTCAGATTCATAGTGATTCTCCTGTCTCAGCCTCCCCAGTGTTGGGATTATAGGCATGCACCATAACACCCAGTTTCAGGGCCAGCACAGCACGCCTGGTGTTCTGGGGCTGGCATGGCACATGATACCAGGGATTAAATTTGGATCCTTGTGTTGGTCAAGCAGGTGCCTAGACCACCACACCAAGCTATCTCTCATA